GCTGTTTCTTTTGCTCTGTCCCTTTTTTTTTTTTTTTTTGGAGGGGCAAAAATTCTGTAGACTCTGAGGTCCCATTTCTATCTAATCTACACTTGCAGTTTATTGATCCACAGCACTAAGTTCACGTAAAAAAAATGCCGCTTGTTCTAACGATACAAGACATTAGAGACAGTGATGAGGCCAGGAAAGATCAGCCAATAGTTGATTGTGGCTCTTCAAGAAACCAACATCTTTTTTTTGTAAGAGACCCCTAACATTACAGTGTTGTAAGACTAGGAAGTAGCATGGGTGTATGGATCATGGAGGCTGAATAAAATTGCTTAGATCAATTGCTTGAGTTTAAAAGAATGCAGATTCAAAGATTTAAGAACATCCAGCTGCCATTTAACCATTTAAACAACACAGTAGGGCCCCAAGCTGAAGAAACCCTTCAGTTTGTGACTTTACCTACCAGGCACATTGCAATACATCAGCATTATGGTGGGAGTGAAGGCTCAAGGGGTCTGCTGAGATTTGGGTTTAATTCTTCATTTGTTAAGCACCAGCAATAAGGTTGACCTACTGCAAGGCAGATTCTGCTTGAGAGCAATTAGCAGCACCAACAGAAGACCTGACATCTCTTAAAGAAAATTAGAGCAATTCTTATATATCATAACTGCCCTGAACATTTTATTGGCAGTGCAATCACACGCCAAATTGTGCACGACGTGACTGTGGTGTGTTGCGTCCCACTGAATGCAATTAAAATAATCAGATAACAAGCACCTAGCAAGTAAGCAACAACAAGACAGGGCATGCAGAGTTGCTGCCTGTGACACATGCATATATTACCTAGCCCTTTTGGCAGTTTATGAAGTGATCAAAAAATTATACACTGTGAAGCAGGTCATTAGATTTTTATGATGACTCTACTTCCAGAGAGCTTGGTGAGAGCAGAATACCAGCATGAAAGGTTTTGCCATCAGAAAACCTCTCTCTTGCAGGACTTCCCAGTTACATATCAGGCAACGAAACAAAACTGTATGGGATATTCAGTTCACTGTGAGGTTTTACTGCAGGTGGGTTCCACCATAAATATTCTCTTTGAATTCCATTACTTATATTCAGATAACCCAGGGTAAAAGGGTGGCAGTGCTTAGAAGGTGTAATAAAACAGGCCTGGTAAGAGGCTAAGTCTGCCTAGAAGCTAACTTGCTACATGACAGCAGAGTAAAGTGACCATGCAGAGCTACAAGAAAGTCAATGGTGCAAGATGGAAGCACCAGCAGGTTGCAAGATGTAAGTTTTTGAAGTCAAGTTTCATAGTTTCATAGATTTAGGGTCGGAAGGGACCTAGTAGATCTTCTAGCCCGACCCCCCGCCAGGGCGGGAGAACAACAAAACCCCAAAACAAAAACGGGACTCAAATGAGTCCAGCCAGGTAGGCATCCAGCCTCTTCTTAAAGACCCCCAGGGTAGGGGCCAGCACCACTTCCCTTGGAAGTTGGTTCCAGCTCCTAGCCGCCCTAACTGTGAAGTCTTTTGCTGGCTGGCTCAATAACTAGATCAAGTGAAGCAGGGAAACAGTTTTACAGAAGAGTTAGTACTTCTTAACCGATTCTCACCCCCTTTGCCATTCCCTGCACTTCTTCCTTCCCATGCACCTCCAACCATAGTGCTAAGCATTGCAGAGAACAAGCAAGCAAGCAAGCAAGCAAGCAAGCCTCAGTGGCTGCAGCACTGACCTGAAAGCTAGAAAACCTGGGTTCCCTGTACACCACTCTGGGCTAGTCTATATTACAAAGGCTCTGTAGCTCTACCAGTAAAGCCACCAAGTGGAAACATAATTTATACCAGTGGTTCTCAACCTGCGGGCTGCAAGCAGCCCAATCAGCACACTCTGAGCTGCAAGTGTGGCCCACTATGGCAAACAGGGTGAGAACAAAGTTTATACCATGAAAATAAGTTCTTTTGTGATATAAACATTGTCTTCAAATGGAGTTAAGCAACAGGCTATAGGAATCTTTTGCCAGTACAAATTATGCCTAGCCACAGAGCTTTGCCAGCAGAGTTAAGTAGGCTGGAGGCACGATACATATTTTCACGCTCCTTTGCCAGCTGATATGCTTGCAAAGCTGTGTGATGGAGACCTGGCCTTACTTAGCCTCTCTGCACTTGGGGAATAATAGGACTTCTTTACATCACAAGGGTTAAGGCAAGGCTGAATGCATTAGACTGATGCGCTCAGATACCACAATCACAATGACCTTGTAAATATTTAATAGAAACAGATTGATCATACAGTTTTCAAGCCTTGGCTCTTATTGGAAAATAGGAGGAAAGCAGGGCTGTTGGGATTTTTTTTTGCTAAGGTGCCAATGCTCTGATGGGAGGGGCACCAAAGGCAGGACTAATGTGTGACCTACGAGTTACCATCCACATCACCGGCACACGCAACTGCAGGTTGGAACAAACCATTAGGTGTTCAACTGAGTCTGTAAGAGTATTTTAAACAAAGCTTAATGAAACACTGACCTGGACTGGGAGTAACTTGTTCCTACCCCACCCAGTGTCTAATTCAGAGTCAGTTTGAGGTACAGTATAATTACAATACAATCTGTTTAAGAATAATGCTACTGACTTACAGCCTCATCATGAATGTGACAATATGCTCTGGGTTGATACCAAGCAGTGCCCACAGATTAAATCCAACAAACTATAATTTTCCCTTTTAGTACAAAATAATTTGGTGAAATACATGGAGAAATAATGGAGAGCAAGACTGATCAAAATCCTGGAGAAAAAAAGAACAATATAATGGAGGAACTGTTCAAGTGTGTTGTAATTTATGACACAGACTAAAATGCCTTCCTTTAAATCTAGGCACTGACTATAGGTTTGCCATTTTATTAACAACCTGGTCTTATGAAATAAGAGAGTTTGGGAGTCAGTAATTTTATATCTTGCAACTAACTGAGGAAATTGCAAGTAGAAGAAAATCTTTGGGAAGCTTGCAAGCACTTTGTAATTTTCTACGACAGATATTTGCAAAGCAGCCAAGGCCCATATCCTCCAAACAGGTTTAGTCACTAAACTCCTGTTGCAATGAATGTGATTTAGATGCATAAATAAAACATGGTATTTTCAAGAAATGACTTGGGTTCTTTGGAAAGTCTATAGAATTTAGGTGCTAAAAGTTACTCAGACTTGGGCCAAGTCCCACTAGTTTTCCTAAATAGAGCAAATTACTTGTGAAAATGGGAAACAGGAGCTTCAGCCACTAAAGGGAAAGTAATTCAAAAAAGAGCTTAAGATGTTATTGTGGCCCTGCCGACAGTCCAGCCAGTAACAAGACAATGGGAATAGAGCGGGGACTGAAGAGGTGTGGCCAGTGTCCACACATGCTACAACCAAAGCAGTGAGATAAAGCTAGTCTATTATTTGAATTACTGTAGTACTTTGGGGCCCTAGTCACAGGCCATAATGCATGTATTGCTGTATTAACAAAGAGCAGAGGCGGATCATAAACACTTTAGGCAGGAACTTAGGTGAGAGACAACAGATAGATATGGGGGTGGCACAGGAAAACTGAAGCAACAGCATTAATCATGGCACATCAGTGACCTAATTACTGCCAAGATTTTTATAGAGAGGTAGTTGTAGGAAGCATGAAGACAAAGGTGGTAATCTATGAATCTATGCAATTCATGGTGAAGGACATAGATGACTATGGAGCTCCTCCCAAGCATGAAGAAAACCATGGAGGAGTTTCCTTGAAAAAATGAACAAGTAGGTGATGAGGACTGGCTTGAAGCAGATGCTGGCCTTTCAAAACTGAATGGAACTGAACTCCTTAGCTTGACCTGGATGCGGTGTACATCTGCCCTTAGAGATACCATGAAGAAAGAGTCTACATATTTTAGGCAGAGATCTCTCTCCAGATTCTTACAACCAGGTTGAGTCAAAAGATGGTCCCCCAGATTACATGTCAATGACACAAGCAAGAGGGAGACAGAGGTAGCAGGGAAGGTGGGAGAATGCCACTTCAAGCCATACTGAACTCAAGGTGATGACTAGTCATGCAGGAACACATGGCTTGGACAGACAGAAATGGGTCTAGAGTAAAGAGGTAGATCCGAGTTGTCCACATGGAGACAATAACTGAATGAGCATTTGTGTGCAAGATTACTCAGTAATAAAGTGCACCCCTAGGACTTCCACTGATTGAAGTAGGGTTGAGGGGGAGAGGAAGGGATGAGGAAGATGCACCAAGGGAAAAAGTTCATGTAAAAGGGGACTTGTTTATATTAGGAGAGGTCCACTGCACTAAAGATAGGGTAAAGATGGAATTAGCTGGGGACAGCATCATTTAAACCTGAACTGTCTGACCAGCAGCCCAGGAGTTGTTTAAAAAAAAAGTAATAATAAAACCAGGGTGGAGGAAGGGGCAGAGGCATTAATTCTTCACCTCCTGTGCAAAAGCAGTTCTGGCAGCTGCACTGAAGAAGTCCTGTGGGCTGGGTCCTGTGGACCAGGTGAGGGCCACCTATGAATCAGCTGCTGGACCCACCGTGTTGGTACCAGTGACAAAAGAATTAATGATAGTGGTGGCAGTATTTAAATTACTCATTTGAGTCAGACACTCCTGATTTAAACCAAGGGAGCACATGATTTCAAGAAGGGAATGGCCAGCTGTGTCAAAGGCAGCTGGCAGGTCAAGGATAGAGTAATAGTTCTGAGCTTTGCCAAAGGAGGGGTTCTTAGGTTCTCAGAAGAAGCATTTCTGTTAAGTGCAAGGGAAAAAAGCTGAAGTGGAGGAGGTCTAGGATGGAAATGGAAGAGAAGTGTTCTTCAGACTGTGACTCCCAGTGCATTCATTGAGCTTAGAGACAAAACAGGACAAGGAACCAAAAGCAGGAGAAGCAAGTGGGTGGAGGGTGTGGATTCTGTGGTATGACTAAAGTAGGCTTGAATTGAGAAGGGGAAGAGCCAAAGCTGAGAGAGAGGTTAAGAAAAGAATCTGTCAGGTCCTACATAGAGATTGCAGGAGGAAGGGAGAGTTGAGACTTGAGTCAAAAGGTAGCTAAGAGGTGTTTGAGATTGTACGGTTTTGATACTATTAAGTTGGACACACAAAATTGTTTAGCTAGGACAATGGCAGAACTGAAGGGAAAGAGAACAGGTTTGCACTGGTGGAAGTCAACCTGGTCACAGTTTTTCCACCAGAGAGATTTCAAAGCATGATTGCAAAATAAAGGAAACAGGTGTTTGGGATGAATCAAGGCTGGGGCAAAAAAAAGTTATGGGGAAAAGAGAGCAAGAAACGGAAAAGATCAACCAATGTCTCAGTAGAACAACAGGCAGACAGAGGCGGCTGAGAGCAGACAACAAATCATCAGTGCTGAAGGACTGGAAGTCAGAGAAATTCTGAGTGTCTGGATGAACAAAACTGGGTAGTAGCTGGACAACAGGTACTCAACAACTAATATAGTAGTGACTGGTAAAGATTAAATCAAACTAACAGGCCTTTTAGTGAGGGAGAGGCCTAAACCAAAATAACAAATTGGATGAACTGAGAGCAAGGAAATACATAGCTCAGTGGTCATTACCATGGAACTGAATTCACTGAGGAAGAGCATGAGAGACTGCAAGGACAGGAAAAGGGAGTCAAAGATAAATGGATGGTAAATGACAGCAAGAGAAGGGAAGTGGAGAGAAGGTTGCAGGTAGTGCCATTTTAGAGAGCAAAATATGGGAAAGGGGGAAGAACAAGGGTTTGGCAGCAGTAGGAATGGGAGAAAAGAAACCCAACACCCTCACCATAGCCTGATCTGGTACAGGGCAGCAGGGACGGGGGGGTGAGGAGGGAGTCCTCCTACAGGAGAGGTCAGCTACAGAAGCAGGTTCAGACAAAGATATCCAGGTCTCCTGAAAAAACAGGATGTCTGAACTCAAAAAAAAAAAAAAAAAAAAAAAAAAAAAAAAAAAAAACCTCATGAAGCCCCAGGAAAGTTTTTTTGACGGTTTGGGATGGGAAGGCTCAGTATCAATCAACCCAACCCCCCCCCTTCCCCCCCCCCCAGACCAACAACAGACACTGTGCCTAGAAAGGCTGCTCAATGTGCTACTCTTCTGAAGGTGGCAACTTCATCTGGGGTCACTAAGATCCCCAAGTCAAACAGGAGGATTTGCAATACTGAAAAGCATACTGAGGTTTCAGACGGTCTAAAATAGCAGATGACAGAATCAGACAGGAAGAGGTAGGTCATCTTAACCAGGGGACAGCCTTTCCAAAGGCCTTCTTGCAGACTGACCTGACCTTACCTTGTCACAGAAGACTTTAATCTGGCAGTAAGCCCTGTGCACCGGTTTGTTACTCCTGTTATTGTAACTGTAGGTATCAATCTGAAGGTTTAAGGGCAGCCCTTTCACTCCTTTCTGGGAGGAGAAATCTGTGCTGAGGCAGTTTACAGAAATGAAAACCTGCAAAAGAAAGGGGGGTGGGGGAATAGCTCTGATCAGTAGTAATTCATGTACTGCTAAAGATCGCCACAGGCAGCCAGGTTAAGACACAATACAACCCATACTGCTTGGGACAGAGTGAATTTTGAACCTTAGACTAGACATTTAGCACTACAAGTCCCAATAGTGCATCAGCTGAAACACCAAATCCACAAGCAACAGTGACAGCTGCCCAACTCTTACATGGGCAGCCACTTTAGAGGTACAAAGATTCACTTCCCTGGTGCAGATTACAGTAGAAAACCTTCAAGCACCAGACAGACCCATGATCATATCCTCTGCTTGACATTTGATGGTTCTTAAATATGTAAATAAGAAACTAAAATTATGTTGTATAAACAAGATATTAACTTGAAACACAATAACCCCATTGGCTTCAGGATGACAAGTCTTGAGTCTTCAAGAGAATATCATGCTTAAATCTTTGCAGGATCCAAAACCTGAACGTTCCCCAGCAGTGCTTGTAACTGCCTGGGTGTTCAGAAAAAGTTAAACCTGAACCAGCTTTCTCTCTTCAAACTTTTTTTTTTTTTTTTTAAAGTTAATGGAAAAAATGCGCTGAGCTTTAAAATGATTTCAGCGCAATACAATTAGTTGTTTTATTGATGCATATAGAAATTGAACTGTCTGGTGTCTCTGAAAAGGATAAAATGCTCTCCTCCCCAAAATCTGCACCTACACAAATGCCATATAAAAGTCGTCTTTATTATACAGTTCCAGAAGCAATGAAACTTAGCAATGCTACAAATCACCAGCAATAAGTGTATGGATCAAAATTAGCCAAAGCACTTGAATGGATTACTTTCTTCTCCCTTTTGAGAAGGGATTCCTATAATTTGTAAAAGCAAGGATTTCAGATGCAGAGCAAGAATCTTACCTAAGATACTGAGAAACTGTTTCAAGAATTAGTTGCTATTTTGTTTTGGCTACTCATAATAAACTGAAGTTAATGACATCAGCAGGAAGTGAGGGCCACCTATTGAAATTTGAGGAGTACTACAGTTTTCTAATGAACATTGTTAAAAAATAGAAAAGAAAAAAAGTTCACATTACACAATCTTTTGCACAGATGGCACAACAATTGACAGATATTGAAAAAAGGGGAGAAGTAAGCAGTGTCACAGGTTAGGGGGGCCAAAGAGTTTCCACGGGAATTTTTAATGAAAACAAAACAATCAGTCTGTGATTAATTCAAAGGTAGATGGATAAATAATACTTTAACCACAGGATTTGAAAAATCTAGTGCAGATAATCTTCTGTCATAATAAAGTTTAAATTGTCAAAAAACTGCTACAATTTAAGCTGCAGCCCCACTAACATTCAAACAGAAGGCAAGGGAAGGCTGTACCTGCAAGCTTAACTCCGAATGAATTAGTCTCTCAGGGCACGTCCAGACGAGCATGGACGTTTGTTTCCCCAGGGACAAGTAGCAGTGGCACACCTTGCATCTCTGCTACTTGTCCCCAGGCCCATGACACATGCTCTGGCACGCAGAAGGTTACACAAGGTGGGGTAAAGGAGGCCAAGGCCAGCAACTGTGCTGGTCCCAGCAGCCTTACTTGGGGTTCTGGAGGCCTCTCAGGGCTGCAGCCATGGCAGGAAGCCTGGCTGGCAGCTGGAGAGTGACTCTGGCTAGCCATGCTCTGGTATTGGGCAGCGCATGCTGGCGCCACATGCGCCACCTTGCTTTTTTCAGCATGGGTTTTTGCAACCCCAGGAGATCCTGGGGTCAACCCTTCCTTTCCTTCCGCCCTCCCCACCCCATGCTGCAAAGCAGCAGCACTGGGAACGCCTGCATGTGTGGCACCGCAGACAGGGCTACAGTGCCACATACTGCACATCCACGCTTGTCTGGACGCAGCCTCAGGTGCCATCCTGCTCTGCTGCCTGCTTAGTTTGAGACTAACCATCTCTAATTATTCACAATCAACATGCCTGACAAAGTCATAAGCAAGTAGTTTCAGATGGCCAGTTAGAGTTGGCTATTAGCAAACACACTTCCTGAAATACTGAACAATTCTCACCAACCAGATACACACTATAGGCCAGGGGTGGGAAAAATATGGCTCGTAGGCTGCATCCAGCCCACTAAGAGATTCTATCTGGACCATGGCATGTTCCTCAGCCCTGCCCGGCTCAGACACAGGGGAGCAGCCCAGGCTGTGGTGTGTGGCAGGGCAGGGATGGCACAGCAGCTGGACTCTACTTCCCAGAAGCCCCCACAACCGAAGCTTCTTCTGGCTGCTGCTGCTTGCATCTCTATCACCTCCAGACCCAGCCCAGCTGCCTGAACACCCACCACTGGGGGCACCAGATGTAACAAGTGGGCAGGGAGGGAGGGGGTCTCCCTGGAGACCAGCCCAGGACCCCTGTGGGCAAGGCGCACTCAGCCAGGTGAACAGGATGAGGCCATGGACAGGTGGAGAACAGCACCCGGGAGTGGGACAGATGGGCGAGGCAGAGATCACAGGGCAGTGACAGGGAGGGCCCAGGGCAGAGCTGCAATCCAGGAGGTGTGGGGAGCAGGTTGCAGCTCTGCCCCAGGCCCCAGCCCTGCCCTGTTGCCATCCCACAATCCCAGTCCCAGCCCCACCCATCCCACTCCCGGACGCCGCTCTCTGCCTGCCTGAGGCCCCATCTCATCTGCCTGGCGACATGTACTCTGCCCACTGGTCTCCATCCACGGAGACTCCACCTGCTTGCTCCACCCAGTGTTCCCAGCAGTGAGCATAGGGCAGAGGGGCTCTGGCCAGATACCCACCCCATGCAGCAGCCCACAAAATTTCCTTAAGTGGCCCGCCAGCCAAAATAATTGCCCACCCCCCGCTCTAGGATATTCTCTACACACGTGTTAGTAAGACTTTACAAATGGTTTTATACAGCTTTCGAACTTTAAAAAACGAGTCACTTAATATTGCATCTCTGCTCCAAAGTGAAAAATAAAATTTCTCTAGAACAAGCAGGAATTGCTCCATTTTTAGTATCATTTCTTTTGATTGGAAGATCTTAGCATTTGGAGCCTTTACATCCAAGATTTTATATAGTCTATGTATATCTGGGGAGGAAGGTTTCAATTCTAATTAGCCACTTGGGCAAAGCATCTATAGCATTGCAAGATAATATTAGCAGCTTTGGTCAAAATGGCAAAGACATGTACAACATAGGCATACTACACTTGATCTGAGAGCCCATTGAGCCATACGCATCTGCTCAATCTAATAGTTCAATGCAAATTGAATCTGCTCATCTGTCAGGTGGAAACGATTTCTCTCTCACTTGAAAACAGCTGGCATTCGATTTGTTTGGCTTTGAAACACTGACTTCATTTCTATATTTAATACCATTCAGTCTTCTGCGAACTGGGAGGAGGAGCAAAGATCAAAAACTTACTAAGTCTTTTCTCTCTCTGCACCTTTCTGGGATAGGATCCATCCTGTCCAAATGTAGTCAACCCAGAACATGACCCGTGTCCTCCTTTCTACAGCATTATCCTTGTTGTCCTCCGATGCCAGACTGAGGCTTTTAAAAACCCATCTGAAAGGAAGTGGGAGAATATCTTCTCCTGTTCAGTGTAAACTTGATTTCTCCCACTCATTTTTTTTGTTTAGGTAAGATTTGAATCATGTTCTTAAAGAAACAAGGACGAGTGACTGAACCAACTCATCCCCACCCCAAAATTGCCAGAAGAAAGAAAAATATAACCGCAAAAGTTGTTCTGCATCTCTAGCCTGCTCAGCAAGATTCCTCTTCAGATGTCCAACCTATTTTCCAGGGGCAGTTCCGCATTCTCAACTATATTAAGATTTGCTACTTTTCAAAAACATTTTCATCTTACCACCCAAAATTCAGCTCGTGTGACAGCACTTAAAAATAGAGCATTGCCAAGCCCAAGCATTTAAAAGCCGTGAATCAAGATCCTAAAAAACTGGATTGGCGTTAGTGTCATAAGGTTGTTAAAAAGGGAAAAGAATCAGGTGCATGTTTATTTTTGCCTTGTGGCTTTTGAGTCTTTATGGTGTGCTTAAATCACATTTCTAAATTTTCTCAGTGACCTAGAAGACAAAAAAAATTACTCCTGCAGCTCCAGGAACTGGGTATTTGAGGTTAAAAGAAAAAAAATTGAATATTACAAATCAAATACCACAAAGGCAACTGTACATAAATAGATTTGTACCATTCCAAAACAGGTGCACATGTACCAATTTTCCTCCAATGCTTTACGCTTCTGTAGTCTCCCCCACTTGAATAATAAATCACATTATGACAAGTTGGGAATTTGGCATCCCAGTACCTCTCTGAGGTGTGTAAATATTAGTTCTATTTTACACAAGGGGAAACTTAAGCAGAGAGATTAATTAAAGAAACATCTCCAAGGTCCAGTGGAAGTTTGTGGGGCAGAAAAGAGAACCCAGGTCATGTCAGAGATTCAAGCACAAAGCCATTCTTACTCCATTTCATTATTCAGAGAAACTTATACTAAACTAAAAAAAAAAGTCAACAGAGAAACAAATACCTGATCTTTAATTTAAATACTCAGGAAGAGCAGAAAAGTGGCTCAAGTACCTCTGACACAACAGTTTTTCCTAATAAGTTCTACTTTTCAAACCAGGGAAGCAAGTACAGCCAAAGCTCTAAAGGTTTCTCTGTCAATAAAGTGGAGTCTGTTTCTTCAGTGAGTACTAAATGTGCCTACATTTTTCTCTTACGCACATTTTGGACACAACACTCTCTATGCCACACAAATTTTACAAAGCAATTTAATTTTGCCAGGAGGCTAAATATTGGAGCTTTTAAGTGAAGATAAAATTAGTGTTCCTTTATACAACATTTATTTTTCACTGATGAGCAATCAAAATGTACTTGGAGATTTCTATGAATACTAAGCATGCAGGGTTGTCAAACTTAACAACAAACATTTGGATATTAAATCTTGCGTTTCAGGGCTCTAACCATCTCTGTGA